ATTTACCATGGGATTTACCAATAAAACTAATCCTGTTCAAAGAACGCGTCGATGTGGCCAAATTTGGTGCTTTCCCTAGGAAAAACCACGGTGATTCCCTCGGACCCGTCCTGGCCTCATGGCGATTTCATCCTGGAAAAATCCAGAAAAAACATTTTGGGACCACTACAAAAATCATTCACAAAGCCATATATTCATTGGTTACCAGCCAAAAAAAATCGTGGCTACATCCATAATAATTAAATATCTGGGATGGTTTAATCATGTCGACTCCGCTTTTCGGGTCAAACAATCCCTATTTGGGAGTTCACCGTTTTTGGTAATCCCAAATGCTCAGGGGCGCTCCGCAAAAACGTTCCCACAATGTCTACACCTCGCACAGGTGGACGTCTTCTCTTTTGCCATGGTCATCTACGAAATCATTTGCCGTGAAGTTCCTTTTGAAGAGGAGGCAGACGCGATTTTTAAGGGCGGATCTGGTATGATTTTTGATATGATGAAAACTTGGGTGAATTATGGTGAATTGCTCTTGTCCGATGTGGGGGAGGCCCATCAATAAGCTATTATTCATGTGTTTCATTTATGAGAAAATAGATGTTGATATGTTCATGATTTAATGATATTGTAAATTTTATCAATAATGTATTATTATATTTCATCATGTTTATAGTGTATTGATATTATAGCTATGGCTATATCTTAGAGGTTGATATGTCCATTATAAGGAATTCCTAATGAGGTCAGTTTTTTTTGGAGAAATAATGGGGAAAAGCCTTGGGAAGACAATCATATGAGGGATTTAGGTTTTCTTGGGCTGGTTTTAAACTTGGGAATCGTAGAGATATCATCGGGAATTTATTGTTATGTATATATATATACACATAATATATTTGGTGAGATGTAATTTTTCGGCGTGGATATCATATGATATCATGGGTTAACATGGAGGTTTAAAAAAACATGTGACATGGAGACATGGGAATTTATGGCTTGATTTATGGCTTGTATTCAGAAAGAATTGGCTGGGCCATCCCTGTTCCCATCCCGACATGGAAGATGTCAGAATCATTCGGACACGGCGCCATTTGTAAAGCTACGGAAAACGATGGAAAATCATGGGATCTATCGCTGATTTAAATGGAATTTTATCTTGATTCAATGGGAGATTAATGGGATATACCCGGCCTGGTAAACGTTTACATAACGAACTGGAAAGATCCACATTTTTTTTGATGGGAAAACTCACTATTTCAATGCTCCTTTTCAATAGCAAACTGTTAGCTTGCCAGAGGGTTGTGGCTGATTCCCCTTACCCCATGTTAAATTGTCTTTTTTTTAAATCAATACTAGCCCTTTCATGCTTGGTTACATTTAAAAAATACAAGTAACAAGTTATTATTCTATGCAACATATATACATATCACATATCCCATTCATCATTTTTGGTTCATCATATCCATTATGTCCTCACTATTCATTGGTTAGCTTAAGTCCCTTTTCTCTGGTTAGGAATCCCAGACATCCCAAATCATAGCAGGGAAACCAAGAAAACCGTGAATGGTTGGTTGGACATCATCAAAACCCAAAAGGATAGAGTAGACATACAATGAGGAACCACACAAATCCGTACTACAGCATATCAAGGAAAAAGAACAATAGATATAAATGAATAAATGTCATAAACCCATCGAAACCCATGACAACTCATCAAAGTTGTTGGTTTGATATGATGTCATTCTATATGTCAAAATCATTTAACAAAGAGATGTGTCAAGAAATCCCATTCTATGTTCATTTACATGTCACCACCACAAGCCCATTCAATTGCAATTTGCAGGAACCTAAATTGAAGGTACCTACCACCTAAAAGGTCTATGAAAGGGCTAACATTCAGGGGATGTACACCCCAATTTGTATGGATAAAGTACTTTCATTTTAGGATCCTGAAATTCCTATTGATACATCACACGATCATGATTTTCTTTCATACATACATATGAATTCGTCTGCAAATAAAGCTTTCCCCATCAATTTCCTATGGTTTGGCATCATTTTCCCCATTCAATGGCCCGTTAAACCTGTCAAATCTATGGCCATGCGGGCAGTCCTTCGATGTCATTGTCCACTTGCTGGGCACTTCGTGACTTGCAAGGTGCTAGTGACCTCTCCCAACATGTGAAGTCGGTGGGTGACAGCTCTGAAGGTAAAGAAGATGGGATTTGCAGGGTGAAGCCAGGCAAAGAGATTCAGGTCATCTGCGACTTCAGCCGGGAGAAGTTTGTGACTCGTAGCATCTTGTCTGCGATTGGGTTCCCGCCAAATGGGTTCCAGCACACTGCGATGGGAAGCCCCAACATCCTGCTCACAAAGGAATCTACGACTTCAACTGCGAATAGAAATGAGGAGATGGTGTGCAAATCCCAGTACATGTTCTTCGATTGGGCCCCAGCGAAGACGGTCTATGAGTGAGGCTTGAGACCTTACAAGCGTAGTCGCAGCTCAGGAAATGTGAGCAAGGAAAAGTGTGTGTGAGAGCATCATGGACTAAGAGTTGATGCAGGTCAGTTGAGAGGATGTGACGCACACAAGCAGTGAAGCAAAATTGGGTGCAACATGAATAGCACCAGGGATAGCTAGGATTTATTCTGTGAGGACCTAACCTTGCTAACTTGTTTGTTGCAGTCTGCCAGCGACATGGCTCTTCCAGACCCATAGATTCCCAAAGCCCTGGAGTTTCTCAAGTGAACATGCCACACTTGAATTGGGAATACGATGGCATACGTGAGAGCTTTCTGTCTGCATGGCTTTACGCCATTTTCAATCACATAAACCCACCATCTCATCACCATATCTTGTACCACCATGAAGCCCACCGCATTTTGCAGGACCATTTTCCATTTTGCACCATTAAACTCACCATTAAACCCCACCATAAGGTGCCATCGACCTCTCCTGAACCTCCATCCCCTGAGGAGCCGGCGGAGGTGGGCAAATACACGGTGGCCGGGATTCGCCCCGAGATGGACGCGGTGCCGCCGGACTTCCCTGCCGAACTCATCGCGCTGATGCAGGCGAGGACGTGGACGGGACGATGAAAGCCATGGGGCGATTTGTTGTGGTGACGATGTGAAATACGCTATGGAATACTATGGCATGGCTATAATGTAGTACCAGGATGAAAATGATAAATATGGTCTTAGGCAATTGCTGAAAGTAAACACGATCGTATTTGACGCGATGCAGATATAAACGATATCAAACCAGGTAAGATTCAGGGCGGTGGTGGCAGTTCCCCTGGATGTTTTTGGTTGGAGGAGAAGTTATAGAGTTTCAACTTCAATGACAGCGACAGGAAGGATGAGAATTTAAGTATGTTTCTATCTATTTATCTATCTAATCTATCTAATCTATCTAATCTATCTAATCTATCTAATCTATCTAATCTATCTATCTCTCTATCCATCTATCGATCGATCTGTCTGTTTAAACTATACTGTTTGTTGTTCAAAAAATCCTTGAAGTGTTTTGTGTGCTTCAAAACACATAACGGGTTCGGGTTCAGACCTTTAGGCGTGTGAAAGCAAATTATCCCGATGTTTTTGTATGGTTTTACAGTATTTGTTTTAGTGACCTGAAAATGAGAGAGTAATTTCAGATAACATAGATTAACACAATCGCCCCCAAATACAACATGTTAAATTTATGTGACCATTTTAACCGTTTTTATTGGTCTAACGTGTGGGGCCTAAAAGCCGCCGGTTTTTTTTGAATATAACAATACTCTCCCAGTGTATGCTTCATGGGCTGAGACTCTGCTGCAGGGTCCTTTTTCAAAATCATGTCGCTACAAAGGAAATGTCTCAGCTGATTGATATGGTTTTTCCTGGGAGGTGGTGAATGATAGATGGAATCCTCCAGCTTGACATTCCCGATGTTTTTCTGGAATTACATCAGTTTCCCGATGTTTTCCAACAATCCCAGCATGTTCCATGTTCCACCTGTTCTCCCAGCATTTTTCCCACATCAAAAAACCCTCGCAACCCTACCCTGAGCGGCGCTAGGCATGCTGGGCGCAGGACCCCTCGGAGCGTCCCTGCTTCCCAGACGTGCTACAGCAATTGGAAGCGTTGCGCGGATGACGCCTTTGCGCCACGGGTGTGCGCGCCGCCGATGAGCCGCAGATGTGGAATCCCATGATTGCCCTGGGAAAATGATCTACAAATTACAATTGGCGGGGTTTTCCCACAATGTAAACGTTTACAGCAGGGTTGGGATGGCCACGAGCAGATCACAATGTGGATGGGGATTAGGGGGATTGAAGCTGCAAAGATGTAGATAGAAACTTTGATATTTGGCTGGGTGATGGGCTGAAGATGCTGATTTTGTTGGTGTTTGGTCCAGTTTGCCTTGTGTGTTAATGGGGTACCACTGGCGGGTACCACCCAAGGTCCGCAAGGTTTTAAGCGAATCCCAATTCAAAATTGCAATTCATTGTGTAGTAATTCCACTTGACAAAGTGAAAGGCCCAGTCGACGTTTGGTGTAAAGTGTTTTTGTTTCACTGGAATCCCATAACTATGGCCCTATACACCATTTCTAAATGGGATGACATAACTCCAATAACTAAGGTCATATATCATGAAATAAACCAGTTATAACGGTAGATTATCATTTGACAATAGTGCAAGAATCATGACCAACGGGTGATTCAGAGTCAAGTTGCCCTTAGAATTGTCCAAGCATATTTTGATTCAGTGGCTTTTGGGAAACATCAGATATGTGTTTCAGAACTCTTTCTCTGTTTCTATATATATATAATCATATATGTATATAATCATACGTATATAAAGATATAATTATATATATAATGTATAAGCATATAATTTTATATAATCATATAAAATTACATATAAGTACTTAATCATATATATATATATATAAAACAAACATACATAATATAGGCAATGTACCGTATACATTCCCACAGTGACCCAGGTCACGCCGCCATCGCTGGTGAATCGACTGTTGCATCGCGGTTAGTGGTTTGAGCCTGGTTTGAGCGGCCGGAAATTGCTTCAGTTCATGAACTCCAATTTCATGGCGTACATATATATATATATATATATGGTCATGAAAATGGAGATATCAATATCAACCCAACACTATCAATGGAATGTCAATGGACATATATCTGGAATCATGCTCAAGTGTGTTTTACTGATATAACTGATACTATTTATTTATAGTTATATCAGTAAAGCAAAAATTATCCACATAGATTTATGGTGTATACCACCTAGCCAGTGATGGCTAGTGCGGCTAGGGGATGGCGGTTGATAGGGTATCCACATGTCGGTTTACATGGTTTATTCGTAGCTAGAACGACTGTTGGGTTGATACGACTGTATTACACAAAAACAATATAAGTCTATTGGCGCGATGTTTGATAACTATATTGGCACCTGTTGAGTAGATATATATATATATATACTATAGTTAGATAGTATATCTATAGTTATTTAGTCTATAGTTAGTTATTATGGCTTATAAACCAACTTAACTACATCAAGACGAAACAATCGCAACAACTCTGTATTTGCGTCACCTCGGCTGTTACACCGCAAAGGCTGTCGAGTCGCGCAAACCGGCTGAGCCTGAAATTCTTGTGGAGCTGACTCCGCTTCTGCCCAACTCTTTCGCAATCAGTTTCTGCCCTCTCGGATTCCAGAAATCTGAAGTTTCTGTTTTGGGCAGATGTTGGGACCGTTGTTAACTTTTTCAAGTATGGCTCAAACCATCTTTCAAGATTTCTGTGGAATATGAAGTTGAATCGCCCAATTCTTGTTGTTTGAACGTAGCGAATCTGAGCGGGCCATGTTGGGCCCACAGGGGCAGGAGTGGCAGGAGTTCATCAAAGTCAGCGTGAAGGGCGAGGCTGCGGAATAAAACCATCTGGTAAAAGTTATATTAAATTATGATACATGGAAAATCACCATGTTTAACAGGTAAATCATCGTTCACTAAATGGGCCATTTGTCGCTGTGTTAAATGATCGGATGATCGGAGTGTTATGATAGCCATGATCGGGTTCCCCTTCTGTTTGATTGCCAAAAGAACATCCAGGAGGTGAAACTGATGTCGTTTTCTTCATCATTTGGTTTCCAATTATTCCTGGGGTGGTCGCTTTAGAAATAGATATTTGTTTATGTTTTTTTCTGTCATACATAGATATTTGCAGCTCATTGAGGTTTTCCTGCCCAATCATATACAATCTGATTCTAGGTGTAAAGTTCGATCATTCGGAGATGCGTCAAAATTTGAGGCCAGTTTCTGCAGACATTTATTTTTTTGTATTTTTTGTCATTAGCAAAATAGAAGATCTATTGACCATCTAGTTTGACGGGAGACTTTTCACGACTTGACCCCCATTTGACCCCAGGATTTTGATCAACGGCCGTGGTTTGGCCACCTTGAGGTCACCAGGTCCTATCAAGGTGCTGAGTCACGTCACTTAGTCATGCCAGATCTCAGAAATTCAGAATTCTCCGAAAAAAATGATCCTTTTTTGTTGTGAATAAAATAATTGAATCCCATGGGCTGCTAAATCCACATATTCATATCATATTCATATCATATTCATATCATATTCATATCATATTCATATCATATTCATATCATATTCATATCATATTCATATCATGTTCATATCATATCATATGTTCCCTTGGTATTACTGGCTAGTCAGTTAGTCCCCATTGATTGAACGGAAAATCCCCATAAAATGATGGTCATGAAATGGGTGTCCCGATATCATGGGAAATCCACATTTTTGGGGGAATCAATTAAGGGAAGATTCTTAAAATGTTTTGGTGATTCCGAAAAAAACAAATCAATGTTTTTATTTTGGAGTTTCAACCATCCAGTTGGTGGTGCAGGAGTTCGCAACCATCCACGGTATCTAGTCTATGAATCTATAAATATATGATATATATATATATATCATAAATATTCATAAATATTCATAAATCACAAAACCTCGCGTTTTTTTGAACAAAACCTCAACTGAGCTATCATAAACAAACTCTACATCCATATACATCCCATGGTATAGATGAAGCTAATGGCTCCAGTGCTTGGGATATTTCCTGTGGGGAATGAATTGGAGATGTGTGTATTAGTACTATTAGTACTGATGATTAATGATCAGGGATCATTTTCAATAATGCGAGTTTTTGTTACGTTGGAGTATATTGGGGATACCCCATTCTAATGCAGTGATTGGACTATTAGAACATATTAGAAATACTCACTGATATTAACAATTATTAACATATATCCCTACCAAACAATACCATTTGGTAAACTAACATAGCTATTGAAAATCACCATCTTTAATGGCCAAATACGGCTAAATCAACTATTTCTATGGGCCATTTTCAATAGCTATGCAACAAATTACCAGAGGGTAGTTTTTTTTTCCATCTCACCCCCCTCAAGACCTGTTCCTTCACTGCCGACGGCTGAAAACCGCCCTTAATGCCAACTGGACGTGGCAACGATGCTGCGTCTGAATGACTCGCCGCCGAGGTCGAGGTCAAAACATGGCGATGCGCAATGGGAAAGCCATTCCGAAAGTCTTCATGGGAGAATCATCTTTATAATGGGATTATATACCAATAATAGTGGTTAATGATGGTTAATGGATGTTAATGGTTAATAATCACTGGTTGGTGGTGACTGGAACATTGGTGTAGTATGGGATAATGATGGTTCATGATGGTTAATAATGGTTAATCTCACTGGTTGGTGGTTTGGAACCTGAATTTTATGACTTTCCATACATTGGGAATGTCATCATCCCAACTGACTAATATTTTTCAGAGGGGTTGAAACCACCAACCAGTATACATTTTAAAACAATGGTTGATCAACTGTAGCAACAATAGTAATTAAAGTTGTTTATAAGTTGGTTTAAAAACCTCACTATCTAGCAGAATCTAGCCTGGTTGTTGGAGTTATTTTTACTGACCTCGCCTCGCCTTTCAGGAACTTCGGCCATGGGTAGGTGAGCCCCACCGGTGGATCAGTTGGGAAACTGGTAGATTTCCAGTTCAAAGATGCCCACTGGTTATTTTTATGGAACTGATACCAGTTATCAGTTCAATTTCAAAAACTCATGTATCCCATAAAGAAAAAATCCCTAGCATATCCCATGTTCCATGTTCCCATATTCCGAGATTTCTATTCTGTTCATCTTTTTCGTTGTCACCTGGGTACCACACAAAACACGGATTGTGCCCCTCGGGAAACATTTGAGCCATGAACAACCAATAGCCTGGTTGATTGGTTGAAACAGGGAGTTATACTACCACGGTTAGTATAGGGATTATGATAACCTAGAACGGACCCATAGAACGAAACCAAAATAAACCAACTAGTTTCAACTAGTATTTCATGAGATGAACTAGGGCAATTTTAATGGCTCAGGTATCTTAGTAAACGTTGGTCGTATATCACCATGTCTGTTGGCAAACATCAACCATCATCAACCCCTGTGTCAAAACATATATTTTTCAGATACCCTCTGGTAAACGTTTACATAACTATGGAAAATCACCATGCTATTAATGGGTAAATCAACTATAAATCACCATTGTCAATAGTTTTTTGTATGTTTATCAATTTTTAAACAATCCTTTTCAGCTCTCAATGTTTGAACTGATTTCCAAGTGGTTGATTCAGCAATGATTTTTTATGGGATGTAGAAAGTATCCATTTGAAGGACACTAATATAGTTACCGTATATATCTATGTGAATAGGAATATGTATTAATTAAGTCTCTATGGAATGTATACTTTGAAGCTGGCTTACTTGTCCAGGTTCTTTTTGTAGGACTTGAGGATGTATTCTTTTGGTGCGAAAGAAACACATGTATCCACCTAGTCGAACACATCTGGCGTATCACCTAATTTCTTCTGAGGATGCAATATTATTTTCGAATATTGCCCTTCTATTTATTTGTTCAATCAGTTATGATTGATCCAAGGGGCATTTTTAATCAACACTTATGGATATAACATGATACCCGTCTTATTGATAGATATCAGCATAGATACAGTTGATGAAATAAATCCTGCACGAGTTGAGAGGTGGCCTATCCCATTATTTATAGGGTTGAAATACCATCCTGTTGGTGGTGCAGGATTTCGCAACCATCCACAGTATTATAGATTGACACAATGATAAATATCACACATTGTGTATATATATATATATATTATACATTGTATATATATATATATGATCATATATATATATATATTTATATATACAAAAAAATACAATATATATATATATTAAGTATTAAGGAACCTTAGCCTTCTTTTTCTTGGTTGAACATCAAAAAGTATTTTTATATTTTTTAAAAAACATTGTATTTTTGGCAAAACCTGGTTTTCTAAATCTCTACCCGCGTAATTTCGTAATTTACCCGTAAATTCCCGTAACCAAATGCCTTGCTGAAAGAAAACAACGGGTATTTTGAAAACACTTCTGTTTTTTCTGGCAACCCCCAAAAAAAGTTTCTTTTGGAGCCTTAGTATATTAAGCACAATGTAAATTTTCACCATGAATCTCCATCTCTCCATCTCTCCATCTTTCCGCGTGGCTCAAGCTGTCGTATCTTTTCAATCTGCGTCACCGTGATGACGCCGCCAGGTCCAGGTGACGGATCCGGCTGGTGCTGGTAGAAAAAATGCTAACATCACTGGGGTTTTTGTTGATGGGATCCATGGCACACCATATATAGCATATTAATGGATCCGTCATGGGTTATGAACATGGGATGATTTAGCGAAAATGGACACAGGAGGGGTGATGTTTTAAATCAGACATGTTGTCTGAGAGAACTCGCAGTTAAAAACATCGGAGAACTCACCAGGCAACGAGAAAATTTGGGAAATCACCGTGAATTCACTGTGGATCTTCCAGAAATCGCACTAAAACCTGATGCACTAAGTGTTGCTCAAAGATTTCGCAACACTGCTGGTGATTAGTTTGGTTTTTGTTTGATCAAAATCACATGAAATATGGGAGCCATGAATTCGGATATTGCACTATTATGTATCATGCATGTGGTACACCCAATAATTAGCCATCCCGAACAGTTATCGGAAATGGCAACACAATCTATATATATATGTTATACATATAGATAGATAGATAGAAAGATAGATAGATAGACAGACCCTCTTGAACAGCCAATAAAATTGTCATGTCACCCCACTTTAAAAAGTATGCGTTTACCATGTTTTTTTTTTTCGGTACTCTTGGGGTCAAGGTATATGTTGAAGCATAGTCCAGTCATGCCCATTCTGGAATTCTGATTTTTTTTTCCCCACCTGCCAGGTGAGGGTTGTTAGATTTTATGTCAGTTGCCTCCTCCTTCTCCTCCTCCTCCTCTCCTCCTCCTCCTCGTCCTCCTCGTCCTCCTTGTCATCCTTGTCGTCCTTGTCGTCCTCGTCGTCCTCGTCGTCCTCGTTGTCCTCCTCGTCCTTGCTCAACTGCGACTCGCGATCCACAGTGTTCGCTGCCGGACCTCAACCACGACCATCCACGCCCAGTGTTCCCTGCCGGACCTCAACCACGACCATCCACGCCCAGTGTTCCCTGCCGGACCTCAACCACGACCATCCACGCCCAGCGTTCCCTGCCGGACCTCAACCACGACCATCCACGCCCAGTGTTCCCTGCCGGACCTCGTGTAGGAAGATAAAATGTCAGATAGAGTGCCAGAAGATTTGCCAGGTAGAATGCCAGAAAATATGCCAGAAGATATGCCAGATAGATATGCCAGAAGATATGTCAGAATATATGTCAGATAGAATGCCAAATAGAATGCCAGAAGATTTGCCAGATAGAATGCCAGAAGATATGCCAGAAGATATGCCAGATAGAATGCCAGATAGAATGCCAGATAGAATGCCAGAAGATATGTCAGAATATATGCCAGAAGATATGCCAGATAGAATGCCAGATAGAATGCCATAAGATATGTCAGATAGAATGCCAGAAGATATGCCAGATAGAATGCCAGAAGATTTGCCAGATAGAATGCCAGAAGATATGCCAGATAGAATGCCAAATAGAATGTCAGAAGATATGTCAGATAGAATGCCAAATAGAATGTCAGAAGATATGTCAGATAGCATGCCAGAAGATATGCCAGAAGATATGTCAGATAGAATGCCAAATAGAATGTCAGAAGATATGTCAGATAGAATGCCAGAAGATATGCCAGAAGATATGCCAGATAGAATGCCAAATAGAATGTCAGAAGATATGTCAGATAGAATGCCAGAAGATATGCCAGATAGAATGCCAAATAGAATGTCAGAAGATATGTCAGATAGAATGCCAGAAGATGTGCCAATAAAAACATGTATAAATGTCATGGTGGGGATCACACGAAGTAAAGTAATTCGATGGCAATGCTTGAAACAAATTGTCATGAACCGTTCATTTGCACACTAATTGTCTCCATAAAATGGTAATTTCATGTATATAATTGCCCAACCATCAACAATTGTCCACTGTTTATGGGGTGTTTTTCTAGATTTTGGGTCCAATTTAATCAAATCTCAATCCGTCCATGGAGGGTCAGCTCGTTGCCGCAGCAATGTTCCCTGTAGGTGTATCCCCTTTGGTCCAGCGACATTTCCATGGCAAATTGCAGTAGCAATGTATCTACTGAATGGTGGGTTTAACCATCAGAACTAGTGGTTTAAAATGTTTAAACATCAATACAAGGGATCTAATGAATGATACATTTGGTTGTGACTGAAAATTATGGGTATACCAAAATAGGGAAGATGATAATCCATTGGGTCTTGATGCACCCTATCTTTTGCATGGCCCAAAGCATGACTATCAGTGTTGCTTGGTTTGTTCTTTAATGAACCTATCAATGATGCAGCTTGTAGCTAGCGTTAAAAAAAACAAGCGGTGCCCCCAAACGTGTTGTATTTGTTGGTTTTCAAGCCATTATAAACCCATCTAACTATGGTTATATCATGTTATATCATGTCATATCCTCCCATAAACCCAACAGTTAGTTATTGTAGTTATTTGATGCACAAAACTCATGATTTTCTTCATCACCGGTGGGCAACTCGTGAGTTCCCAACAGAAGTTTCACCGCGGATTTTTTTTCCCCCATTTGGGGCGTTTCGAGGCAACTCGCTACGATGGATGCTGATGGATGATGCTGGATGATTATGGCACTATATATATATATTATATACTGGTTGGTGGTTTGGAACATAATATATATTTTCCATAATATATGGGAATAATCACACCAACTGACTAATATTTTTTCAGAGGGGTTGAAACCACCAACCAGTATATATATATACAGACACACACAGTCACCCACCCTATAACCTACCTCTCTCCAGTCTGACATTATATATATATACACATACATATCATAGTCAAACGGGTTTATAACCAACTTATGACTTAGCGGAGTCACGTTTCTGATTTGGTAGCCACCGGTGCCACCAATCCAAACCAGTTCATCAATGGTTGACTGTGGGTGGTATAGATATCTCCTCTTTCAATAACTCCCATTAAGCCAGTCATCATCTAGATAATCTCATTATTAACCATAGTATATAACTATAAACTAGATCGATATATCATTTATTGGTTTTTAAACGGAACTATAGTCATTATAGCCATCATAACAATAAGCATTCAAACCGGAACTATAATCATATAATAGTCATATTTTATAATCCCATCATATAACCATATATAACCACTATGATTGGTATTAGAACCACTATTATAGCCATATAACTAGTATATTATAGTGGTTATGATTATGATATATATATATGGGATTTTCTAGTGGATAATATAGTATAATCCCATTATTATTGGTATCATATAACCACTATTATAACCATATAATAACAACATATAATAGTCATATGATGTGTTTTGCACCGGCATTGTCCTCCAGGAGGCCGGTGCTGGCTACGATGGATTCTCGGCTTCCTGGCCTTGCAGGCGCAACGGCGAAACGGCGGGCAACGGCGGTACGGGTACGTGTGGGGCGCCCATCGCTGGGCGCCTTACCATGTGAGTTCCAAAAAAATATGGATAGATAATGGATAGATGATGGATAGATAATGGATAGATAATGATAATGATTTTTTTAAGAGATATGGCTAGATCATGGATAGATTTTGTGAAATATGGATGGAAATATGGTGGATTTTCCAAGTTGGGGATCCACAAAACCACCAGGACCGTGTCGCGTCTTGGAAAAATCAGCAATGACTGTGGAATGAAAAAAGGTACACATGACGGCATAAGTGTGGGAACATTTTGGAATTGATGAAAAAAATGCAACATCACTTTGACTGTGGGAACATCAGAACTGATTCAAAGTTGCAATGTCACTTTGACTGTGAAATGTTTTTTTGAACTGCTGAACAAAGTTGCAACATCACGGCAAAAGTGCGGGAACATTTTGGAACTGATTCAAAGTTGCACTTTAACCGTGGGAAAATCAGAACTGGTTCAAAGTTGCAATATCACTTTGACTGTGGGATGTTTTTGTTGAACTGCTGAAAAACGTTGCAACATCACGGCATAAGTGTGGACCAATTCTGGAACTGATGAAAAAAATGCAACATCACTTTAACTGTGGGAACATCAGAACGCATTCAAAATTGCAATATCAATTTGACTGTGGGCTGTTTTTTTGATCTGCTGAAAAACGTTGCAACATCACGGCATAAGTGTGGGACAATTTTGGAACTGATGAAAAGCAAGTTGCAGCATCACTTTAACTGTGGGAACATCAGACCTGATTCAAAAATTGCAATATCAATTTGACTGTGGGATGTTTTTTTGAACTGATGAAAAAAGTTGCAACATCACGGCATAAGTGTGGGACAATTTTGGAACTGATGAAAAACAGTTTCAACATCACTTTAACTGTGGGAAAATCAGAACTGATTCAAAGTTGCAATATCAATTTGACTGTGGGATGTTTTTTTGAACTGATGAAAAAAGTTGCAACATCACTTTAACAGTGGGAACATCAGAACTGATTCAAAGTTGCAATATCACTTTGACTGTGGGATGTTTTTTGAACTGCTGAAAAAAGTTGCAACATCACGGCATAAGTGTGGGACAATTTTGGAACTGATGAAAACAGTTGCAACATCACTTTAACAGTGGGAAAATCAGAACTGATTCAAAGTTGCAATATCACTTTGACTGTGGGATGTCTTTTTTTGAACTGATGAAAAACGTTGCAACATCACGGCATAAGTGTGGGACAATTCTGGAACTGATGAAAAACAGTTTCAACATCACTTTAACTGTGGGAATATGTGAAAACTGATGGAAAAAAATGCAACATCACTTTAACTGGAGGAATATGCGAAAACTGATGAAAAAAGTTGCAACATCACAGCAAAAGTTTGGGACAATTCTGGAACTGTTTAAAACAAGTTGCAACATCACGGCATAACTGTGGCAAAATCTTTGAACTGATGGAAACAAAATGAAAACATCACGGCTTAACTGTAGGGAAAGATTGGAACATGAACAAAAATTGTAACATCGCGGCAGAACTGTGGGAAAATCTTTGAACTGATGGAAAATGTTGGAACATCGCGGCAGAACTGTGGGAACATCTTTGAACTGATGGAAAAAAGTTGAAAACTTCACGGCATAACTGTGGGAAAATCTTTGAACTGATGGAACAAAAGTTGAAAACATCACGGCTTAACTGTAGGGAAAGATTGGAACATTAACCAAAATTGTAACATCGCGGTAGAACTGTGGAAACATCTTTGAACTGATTTTGAACTGATGAAACAAATGCAACATCACGGCATAAGTGTGGGAAAATCTTTGAACTGATGAAACAAATCCAACATCACGGCAGAACTGTGGGAAAGTTTCCATTTACCTGTAATTTAACAGTTCGCGAACTGGAAAATTGCCCATTTATACTTGATTTACCTTATCTAATTTCAAGAGGAATGAAAAGCATGTTTTCTGATGATTCAGCACGGGTAGGTACATATGACACTTTCTATGGGTACGGTACGGTGGGTACAGTGGGTACGGTACGGTGGGGTACGGTACGGTGGGTACGGTGGGTACGGTGGGTACGGTACGGGACGGGGAGTACGCTGGGTACGGTACGGTGGGTACGCTGGGTACGGTACGGGAGGTGCGGTGGGGGTACGGTGGGTACGGACAATGTCACGCTATAGCGTGACATTTTGGGGTACGGTACCGGGGGTACGGGGGGTACGGTACGGGGGGTACGGTGGGTACGGTACGGGGGGTACGGTGGGTACGGTACGGGGGGTACGGTGGGTATGGTACGGGGGGTACGGTGGGTGCGTATATACCTGCACCGTACCGTACCCACCATACCCACTGTACCCACCGTACCGTACCACCGTACCCACCGTACCGTACCCGTGCACTGTACCGTACCCAGCGTACCCACTGTACCGTACCCACCGTACCGCACCCACCGTACCCACCGTACCGTACCCACTGTACCCACCGTACCGTACCACCGTACCCAACGTACCGCACCCTTCACCGTACCATCATTTTTGAGGACCGTACCCCCCCACAGAGCATTACTCTTGAAATTTGATAAGATTTACCTATGAAACTAGTGATTTTTTATAGCGAACTGTAAACGTTTACCAGAGGGTATATTTACTGTAGTCCCTTGTATACTTATTACTACTTGTTGGTCAGTTGTACCCATCATATCCCACTAATTATTCATTGATTTCGTTCCTAAATCCCAGGCCAATATGTATTTGGTCGCTTAAATGTATCCTATATTCCATATGGTGGATCGCCATTAAACATTTGTATAAACATGACTGGTTGGTGGTAATGATGGTGAATGATGGTTAATGATGGTTAATGATGGTTAATAATAATGGTTAATAATCACAAATTGTTGGTTTGTCATATGTACAATGATTTCCCACGTATAATTCCCTTTATGTTCGGTTTTCAAAAGAAATCTTCTTAAGATTAAATACCTCATTATATCCATTATGGATACATTTATATGTTTAATGTCAAAATTAGTTCAATTTTTGCTTGGCTAATTCCCATCCATTATTGTACCGTACCTCCCACAGATGTTCCCAGAAGACCCATAGGGGGTAAATCCGCAAGTCTTTTTTCAATTTTTAGACGCGCCCACAGAGCATATCAAGTTGACATAAGTTGACTGCATAAAAAAAACAAGATGAAGCCCACGAACCCGAATGCTCACACGTATGTTTTGAGGTCTGCCCCCGCCCACTAACAGTTCAAAACTGCCCCCCTTTCATAAACCACATACCAAAAAAGCACAATCATATTGGTGGTAACTCAGGCCATTTTAGGGGATCCTTAGGGTCTGCTTAGGAGAAGATGTGATCTAGGTGGGCCGTACAAGTAACAAAGGGTGGAGTAGTGAATGCAACAACATCACTACCTTTCAGGTGGCATTGTTTGTAGTTAAACCATTTAAATCATTTTAACGAACATCCTTTTGTATTGCGCCATATTGTTGGAGCCATCAGGACATGTTTGCTGAACTTGTCATCAACTAGCAAAAAAATCAAAGTATCGATGTTGCTGTTGATATCCTTTGATGGTTGGAACGTTGGAATGGTTCTGGGAAGTCTGACAGCTGACATGATTTTGTTTATCTGAATATTTGTGTGTCAAATAGCAATGGCAATAATATGGTATGATGATGCAAGGTGTTGCATCGATATGATGATACGATACTATGACTCATGACATTCTTTACATTATTGAATGCAGCATACCTGAGATACCGAGATACTGCAATCAAACGGTCCAACCATTGTAAGTTATAAGTGAAAAGCGATACGAAGGCGTGCCTCCAACAATAGTTGTTGAGGTTCTTAATAAACATCATATGATAATTACATTTTTTTTCACATTCCCGCTCCTGGCATGGGCTCACTCTTGAGAGTTTTTTTTTGGAAAGGAGGTTGGAAAAAAGGAAATGGTATGAGACATTTGCCGGGCCGCTGGTCCGAAGGCTGTCGAGGCCAGGTGGCCTGAGATTCATTTTTTCCAGAGAAATTGTGCTTTTTTCGTGCTTTTTTGTGCTTTTTTTGTGCTTTTTTTTGCACAATTCATACCACAAAAAAAAGCACAAAAAAAAGCACAATTCATACCACAAAAAAAAGCACAAAAAAAAGCACAATTCATACCACAAAAAAAGCACAAAAAAAAGCACAATTCATACCACAAAAAAAAGCACAAAAAAAAGCACAATTCATACCGCCAAAAAAAGCACAAAAAAAAGCACAATTCATACCACAAAAAAACACAAAAAAAAGCACAATTCATACCACAAAAAAAAGCACAAAAAAAAGCACAATTCATACCACAAAAAAAAGCACAAAAAAAAGCACAATTCATACCACAAAAAAAGCACAAAAAAAAAACACAATTCATACCACAAAAAAAGCACAAAAAAAGCACAATTCATACCACAAAAAAAGCACAAAAAAAAGCACAATTCATACCACAAAAAAAAGCACAAAAAAAAGCACAATTCATACCACAAAAGCACAAAAAAAAGCACAATTCATACCACAAAAAAAAGCACAAAAAAACCACAAATCATGCGCATTTCCAGCCCGTTCGCATGTGAAATTGTGAAGGGAAACTATTATCTAATTTGTTTTCAATTGCCAGAAAGCACAAAAAAAGCACAAAAAAAAGCACAATTCATACCACAAAAAAAGCACAAAAAAAAGCACAATTCATACCACAAAAAAAAGCACAATTCATACCACAAAAAAAAGCACAATTCATACCACAAAAAAAAGCACAAAAAAAAGCACAATTCATACCACAAAAAAAACACAAAAAAAAGCACAATTCATACCACAAAAAAAAGCACAATTCATACCACAAAAAAAAGCACAATTCATACCACAAAAAAAGCTCAAAAAAAAGCACAATTCATACCACAAAAAAAAACACAAAAAAAAGCACAATTCATACCACAAAAAAAGCACAAAAAAAAGCACAATTCATACCACAAAAAAAAGCACAATTCATACCACAAAAAAAAGCACAAAAAAAAGCACAATTCATACCACAAAAAAAGCACAATTCATACCACAAAAAAAACACAAAAAAAACAAAGTCATTTTCCTGTTTTTCCTGCGCCAGTTTCTGCTTTTTTTTGTGCTTGTTTTGTGCTTTTTTTCTGCTTTTTTTCTGCTTTTGGAAAGTCGCTGCTTTTAAAGCATTTTCAATTGGCCAGCCCGGCCCAGCTCCAGCCCCCACCTCAGCCAGCCAGCCCGCCAGGCCTCTAGTCCCCCAGCATTCCCCAGCTCCCAGGCTCCAGCCCCCAGGCTCAGCCCCCAACCCTTGCCCAGGGTCAGTCCAGCAGCCCCGGCCTTTATATGTATTGTACACACACATTCTATTGTTTTGCTATCGGCGCTGCGATGGGCAACATTCTAAACCCTAACAGCATTACTTTGCCATCGGCATTGTTGTGGGCAGCATCCTAAACCCTAACCAGTGTTGCTTTGCCATCAGCGCTGCAATGGGCAGCATCCGAAACCCTAAACAGTATTGCTTTGCCATCATCGCTGCAATGGGCAGCATCCAAAACCCTAAACAATATTGCTTTGCAATCAGCAGCATCACTACCCACAAGGTGCTGACAAGCTGGATGCATGAGGCATCCCATTGGAAATGCCAATGTCGAATTTTGACAGCAAGGACTTCTGGGCATGGCAAGAAAATGTGCCGACCGTGGAGCCAACTTGCAGGGAATATGCCTGGTCATCTAGCCTTAATAAGGGGAAATGAAAGTCATATTGGGGACTACAACCTAATTTTTTTTGTGCTTTTTTTTGTGGTATGAATTGTGGTCACTGTTAGTGTCACGAGGCAGAGCCCAACGTATGTTAATGGTACAGATGTCAAAACACATGGTTATGCAGTCACGCACAATACCTTTCTGCAATAGTTTATATTTGAACAGTCTTGTACATGTTTCCCTTGTTACCAGTCTGCAGTGTGGGGTGGAAAGTGTAGAGTGTGGAGTGTGAAGTAAGGAGTGTGGAGTGTAAAGTGTGAAGTGGGGAGTGTAGAGTGTGTAAAGTGTAGACTGCGGAGTATAAAGTGTAGAGTGTGGAGTATGGAGTGTAAAGTGTAGAGTGTGGAGTGTGGAGTGTAAAGTGTGGAGTGTAAAGTGTGGAGTGAGGAGTGTAAAGTGGAAAGCGTGGAGTGTAAAGTGTAAAGTGTGGAGTGTAGAGTGTATAGTGTAGAGTGTAAAGCGTAGAGTGTGGAGTGTAAAGTGTGGAGTGTAAAGTGTGGAGTGTAAAGTGTGGAGTGTAAAGTGTGGAGTGTAAAGTGAGGAGTGCAAAGTGTGGAGTGTGGAGTGAGGAGTGTAAAGTATAAAGTGTGGAGTGTGGAGTGCACAGTAAAGTGTGGAGTGCGGAGTGTGGAGTGGAAAGTGTAGAGTGTGGAGTGTGGTGTGTAAAGTGGGGAGTGTGGAGTGTGGAGTGAGGAGTGTAAAGTGTGGAGTGTGGAGTGTAAAGTGTGGAGTGCGGAATGTGGAGTGGAAAGTGTAGAGTGTGGAGTGTAAAATGTAAAGTGTGGAGTGTAGAGTGTAAAATCTAGAGTGTGGAGTGTAGAGTGTAAAGTGTAGAGTGTAAAGTGTAGAGTGTGGAGTGTAGAGTGTAAAGTGACGAGTGTAAAGTGTAGAGTGAGGAGTGTAAAGTGTGGAGTGAGGAGTGTAAAGTGTGGAGTTTGGAGTTGAAAGTGTGGAGTGTGAAGTGTGGAGTGTAAAGTAAGGAGTGTGTAGTGTAAAGTGTGGAGTGTGGAGTGTAAAGTGTAGAGTGTGGAGTGCGGAGTGTAAAGTGTAGAGTGAGGAGTGAGGAGTGGAAAGTGTAGAGTGTAGTGTAAAGTGTGGAGTGTGGAGTGTAAAGTCTCAGGTGAGGAGTGAGGAGTGTAAAGTGCAAAGTGTAAAGTGTGGAGTGTAAAGTGTAGAGTGTGGGGTCTAAAGTGTAAATTGTGGAGTGTAAAGTGTAGAGTGTGGAGCGCGGAGCTTCCCCCACGTGGGTGCAAAAAAAAAGCATTTCGTGCGAGACTTCCTCCAATTTTGATATTTTCCACACGTTATCAAACAGGTTGGAATGTCACAAAGTGCCACGCCTGCCACGCAAAACGACATGACAACCTGCTTGGAAACATTCGAAAAGGACATGTTTTCCAGCTTCCCCCATAGACACGGCGACGCCACAGGAAAACCAGCGACTCGAGACAAGACACGTGGATGCAGAAAAACCAGCATTTTGTACGAGACTTCCTCCAATTTTGACATGTTTGACACATTATCAAACAGGTTGGAATGTCAGAAAGTGCCACGTCTGCCACGCAAAACGACATGACAACTTCCTTGGAAACCTTTGAAAAGGACAGGTTTTCCAGCTTCCCCCATAGACACGGCGACGCCACAGGAAAACCAGCGACTCGAGACAAGACACGTGGATGCAGAAAAACCAGCATTTCGTACGAGACGTCCTCCAATTTTCACAGTTGGCAACATGACAAAAGGACAAGTTTTGCAGCTTCCCCCATAGACACGGCGAGGCCACGGGAAAACCAGACATGCGAGAAGAGACAGGTGGGAGCACCAAAACGAGCATTTCGTGCGAGACTTCCTCCACTTTTCACACTTTGCAGCTTCAAAATCGACGTTTTCCTACGAGTTTTCCTTAGAACCTGAAAATTTGCAACCTCAAAATCGATGTTTCGTGCGAGGCTTCCGTCAATTTTCAGCACATGTCAGAAAATGCCACGCCTGCCACGGAATTTGCACCTTGTCACCACTTGACGCAGCCCTGCCAATGCGATTTACAAAAAACACGCAACAGGACACGTCTAAAGTGCTGCGCCCGCCACGAAAAATGACGATGGACACGTCCAAAGTGCTGCGCCTGCCACGAAAACTGCAACACATCTTCTGAAAACGTCACAAAAGTATTGCGCCTGCCACGAAAAACGATTTTCAACACGTTGCAAAACACGTCTGAATGTCACGAAGTGCCACGCCTGCCACGCGAAACGAAGCAACGACACGTCTGAAACCTCCAAAAAGGACCACCTCTGTAAAACTTCCCATAGGCACGGCCATACGGGGATCGCGCGGACGGTTGCGAACGGTTGCGAACGGTTGCGAACGGTTGCGACCACAAACGCAACGTCGAGCGAACACACCCTCAGCCCCCAGACCCCCAGAGTGAAACGGGAACCCTTGCTACGCATTCGGGAAAAAACGTCATATCCCCATAGTTGTTTCTTATAAATATCCCATAAATGATATAAATGGTTGTTGATGTTTAAAGCTCCAAAAAACGACTTCTAGTAGATTCTAGTTCGTGAAATATGAACCCATAAAATTATCCGAAGACTAAAGTAGTAAGGAGCGGACATGGGATGTAAACAAATGTGTGAAAACCTTCACAACCGATAGGGGACCACCCACTTACCCATACACTATTTTTTCATATAGCATGGAAGTACAAACCTTCACAACCGATAGGGGACCACCCACTTTGGCCATGTCCATTGCGAGTAAGTAATGTTTTTCCGCCACTCATTAATATAACACCCATAATATCCCCATATTTGTTTCTTTTATACCATCATATGAATCATATGTTTTTTCCTCACAGAATGTTCATTATATCCATTAGTCATTGATCAAATCCCAGTTGTTCATGATAAAATCAGTCAAATCCACACATGTTTGTTCCTGAAGAATCATCCTAGAATTTGGACCTTGGAAAATCTGCAGGAAAACATAGGAAAGCCTTACGTATATTTGATGATAAAAACCAGCATGTCCATGGATTTCTTGCATATTTTCCCAAGAAAACCCTGTCTCAATGACATCGATGACAGCCGCAGGTCCTGTGGGGCGGCAGCGCCGTCCTTAGTGAGTTTACTATAGTTTACTCGGTCGGGGCTGAGGCGCAGGCGCGATGAACAAAGAGAGATCGAATGGTGGATTTCACCATAGATGAAATGGTAATTTCATGAGGATATAGGTTATATAAGAATGATTAAGATACTATTGAATTTATTAGATTGTGATTTTCTTCTGTGAATCATTCTAGATTGATATTTCCATTTAAACTTAAACCATCATCAATCATGGGGATGATCTTGCCGGTGACCTTGTGAGGAGACGGTTTGTTTTTTGCTCCAAAAAACGACCGACTAACGAGTTCGTTATATCATGTTATGAGAACGATATATGGAAAACTATAGTCATGTTATGAAAACTACAGTCATTGAACTATATTTATCTATAATATATATATATATATATATATGTAGCTTTCTATATATGATGTTATTCTATATATCATATGGTGTGATATATCACTATAGTCATTGAAAGGTTAAGTAAACATATTACAGTCATATGATATATCCCTTCAATGAAGCCAAGAGTTCACCGAAAAGTTGCGCCGAAAGTGCGTCAACTTGGCCCTGGATCAGCAGGTGGTTATGGTTTTTGTTGGGATTTCACCATCAAAATCTGGGAAAATAATTGATGCTACATATTTTTGGTTGGGAATAATACATTGGAAACACATATTCCAGAATGTTAATCAAGAATTGATGTTAATATTGGTTGATGTGTTTTTGGGATAATATTCAAGTAATTATTCTCAATACGTATGATATTCTAATATCTAATACTAATCTAATCTAACCTATACAATCCGATGTATACACACTGGAGTCACGATGGGATCAGCCTCCCCGAGGCTGCGCCTCCAGAAAGTCCAGGGTCAGGGCTATAACGAAAACATGGGGCGTCTTCCCTCTGGTTATGTCAAAATAGCTATTGAAAATGGCCATTTAGAGTGGATTTTCCTATTAAAAATTGTGATTTTCCATAGAAAGATATTAAATTACCAGAGGGTATTTGGAGGATTCCCATGAAATTAAGCCCTAGTTACCATTTCAATAGCTGGTTGGTGGTTTCAAAATCTTTCAAACATGAATTTGATGTTCCATTTCATAAAAAAAGGATGTCATCCTTCCCAACTGACGAAGTCATAGTTTTCAAGATGGTTATTGCACCCCCAACCAGTATTACATATATAATATGTTATATAATCCCATCATAAAACCATCATATATAACCTTTTTATGATTGGTATCATAACCACTATTATAACCATATAATCAGTATATAATCCCATTGATGATGATCTATATGTTGCTAACCACTATTTAACCGCCGTTGGCGTGTTCCGCCGGCCACCACGGCCAGAGCTATTTCGGCTTCTCAGACCTCCAACGCAGAGACATGGCATAGGAGAGATAAAGCGCAAGTGCATGCAGTGGCATGATAGAGCCACAAGGTGAAGGTGCTTCAGTGCTTGCATCTTGGGGTGTACACCTCGAGGTTGCAGTCCGTGTGAGACTCTGCAGAGTGAAGGGGTGTGTTGCATGGTAGCCGCAACTGCAGGTGCCTATGCGCGGTGTTAGCGAGCAGCGCTGCAGCCAGCTGAGCTGAAGGCGGGGCTGTCGGTTTTTGGAATGGGCGGGTCTGGAACTGGTGGGAAAGGTGGGTGTATGTGTATCACCACCGGCAAACATCGCGCAGCCGCAGAGCAGGAAAGACCAGGAACAAGTTAAGAAATAGAACTTTGTCAGGCAAGAAAACAGAACACACTGCTTTTTTCCATGTTGTGCAGCTCCGCGAAGAACAACAACAAAGACAGTAGGCAAGAATGTGCTAGGGACGCAGTCCGCAGGGCGGCCATGGTGGAAGCTGCGGGTGTGGCGCGGTTGCGGGAGTACACTTGGGCTATCCCACCAGCCCATAGCAGAGCCAACTTCACGCCGCGAGAGATCCGAAAGTTCACTGGTGGCCTGGTGAAGCTGATCCGCTCCCACGATGTCTTGCGCACTGAAGGCGTGCGGCAGTGGATGGCCGAGCTGGAATGGCTGCCCGCAACACCGACAGCGCCAGTGTGGGATGACGTGAACAAGTGGCTCATAGAGAGAGGGCACCGGTACAGTGTGGAAGGGGTAAGACCTGTTGCTGAGCTGCTAGAAGACTTGCCGCCCAACCTGGCAGTGGCGAAGGAGCTAGCCCCGCAGCTGCAGTTCCCAGAGTTTCCGGCAGACAAGCCTGGGGAAGAGTGGCGGTTCTACCCCACAGCAGTTGCACCGCCAGTGCCAGAAAGCGTAGCAGCCACCATTTCAGCGCACAAAAGCGTTCCGCGCTGGAGTGCCGGGTGGCAGCTGGAATTTCATGGCACGTCGCTATACGGGGTGTCAAGTGCCTTGGCTGTTGGCGAAATTCTACCTTCCGAAAGTGACAACAGCGCCAATGGGACGGCCTGCGGCCGAGGTGCCTACACCTCACAGTCCCATGCAATTGCAGCGCGATATGGCATTTGCCACTATTTCGGTGAGTGGAACCAGCCCAGCCACAGCCACTTGGTCAAGATGTTCTTGCTCGTGGCCATCCCTGGCGCTGCAGCTGAAGCATTACCAGAAGCTGAGTGGCAGCAAGTGGACCGCACCCACTTGTCAAAAAGAGGAAAAAAAAAGTGCATTTCAGCTGACAGAGGATGATGCACGCCTCAAACGGGTGGCCATGCGACTTGGTGAAGATGGCCAGGGCACCGTCCGGGAGCGGGACTGGACGACCCAGGCACCTGGCTATAGCCAAGCCACCTCATCAAGGGCCTATGTGCTCGGGGCCGTCGTGGGGGTGCTGAGCCCAGCGGCTGCGCGGCGCTACGGGCAAGAAGGGAAGCAGGCCATGGTCACAACTGGCTGGGTGGAGAAGGCAGAATTGCCCCTGGCGCGGCCCCGCCCCTTGGGGCGTACGCCTTGAGGGGGTTGCTGGGAGCGGCGGGGCTACCTTTGCCTGAGAAGTTTGCATTTGCTCAGCATGTTCGTGACCAGATCCCCAGGTGTTTCCAACCAGTTGCAGAATGCAAAACGCACTGCAAGATGGAAAGTTGTTGAATTGAAGACTATCACAAAGGTGCAGACGAAGGATTGGCTGCAAAATGGTCTGAAGGTACAGAGACATGTTCTAAGCAAACTTGCTTTTGAAGCTCAGATGAGCAAACGTTTCATTGGTAGTGGGCTACAAGAACTCAAGAAATAGGGGCAATAGATGATAAATCCTTCACATTGCACAGCCTTTCGTTTTTATTACCTCATGTTCCTTCAAGAGTTGAGAACATTGAGATTCTTGAGACACTTTGTGCAACTTCACCCAACTTTGCACATGTTGACGGCCCCGATTTGTGGTCGTTTTGTGTCAGCTGCAGGTGCTCTTCAACTTGCTGACGTTGAGCTGCCGGAACCAATCGCCAGATAACCCAGCCCTCATGTTCCTTCAAGAGTTGGGAACATTGAGATTCTTGAGACACTTTGTGCAACTTGACCCAACTTTGCACATGTTGATGGCCCCGATTTGTGGTCGTTTTGTGTCAGCTTCAGGTGCTCTTCTACTTGCTGACGTCGAGCTGCCGGAACCAATCGCCAGATGACCCAGCCCTCATGTTCCTGCAAGAGTTGAGAACATTGAGATTATTGAGACACTTTGTGCAACTTGACCCAACTTTGCACATGTTGATGGCCCCGATTTGTCGTCATTTTGTGTCAGCTTCAGGTGCTCTTCAACTTGCTGACGTCGAGCTGCCGGAACCAATCGCCAGACGACCCAGCCCTCATGCTCCTTCAAGAGTTGAGAAATTGAGATTCTTGAGACACTTGGTGCAACCTGACCCAACTGTGCACATGTTGATGGCCCCAATTTGTGGTCGTTTTAGGTCAGCTTCAGGTGCTCTTCAACTTGCTGACGTCGAGCTGCCGGAACCAATCGCCAGACGACCCAGCCCTCATGTTCCTTCAAGAGTTGAGAACATTGAGATTCTTGAGACACTTTGTGCAACTTGACCCAACTTTGCACATGTTGACGGCCCCGATTTGTGGTCGTTTTGTGTCAGCTGCAGGTACTCTTCAACTTGCTGACGTTGAGCTGCCGGAACCAATCGCCAGATGACCCAGCCCTCATGTTCCTTCAAGAGTTGAGAACGTTGAGATTCTGAGACACTTTGTGCAACTTGACCCAACTTTGCACATGTTGACGGCCCCGATTCGTGGTCGCTTTGTGTCAGCTGCAGGTACTCTTCAACTTGCTGACGTCGAGCTGCCGGAGCCAAGCGACAGATGACCCAGCCCAGAGTCGAAAAGAGCAAGGGCGAAACAGCACCTGACTATGAAATCGAAATTTATCGATGATGGTTGACAGGTTTTGTACAAGTGTAAGTTGCAACCCCAGGCTGGCTTCGGCGGTACCGCCACGATAAAGTGAGCATTTTGTGGATTTGGTTCCTAAAAGGCTGGTGTTACTCTTGCTCACCAAGATAGAAGTCCTAGACCCTGAAAAGGTGGGAACCAACCCTGCTCTTCAGTGCAGTCAAGAGAGAGAGAGTAGCAAAGCAGCCGACCCAGCAAGAGCATGAAGGTGAGGAAGCCGGGCAGGGCACTTGTGTAAGACAGGGTTGGTCTGTACAGGAGTGGGTTTGAGTGCAGCAAAGCTTTTGGCTAAACCAAGGCTGTTGTGTAGACGGGGCGTCAGCCCTAGAAAGCCCTTGTAGCACATTCATGGCGAAGCAACGGCGGCAGAAGAAAGCTTATACAACAGCAAGCCAGCTAGCCAACCAAGAACGTGAAGCGCAGGACGCAGTGGAGCAAACAAGAACACGCGCACGGTGTGCAAGGTGGGGGCAGAGACGAACCCAGCACATTGCAACGAAAGACACAGAGGAAAAATACGAAGAGAAGACAGGAAAGATTGTGTTGCGTAAGCGGGGTTTGGGTTGAAATTGGGGGAGGGGGGGGGAGGGGGTGAAGAGGGGCCCTAGCGTCTACTTCAAGATCAGCTAAGGCGTCTTCCCCAATGACAGCACTTGTTTTACTCAGCCTGTTGCCGGTCTGTGCTTGTCTACAGGGTTACTCTATATACCTCTTGAGCCTTGAAGGGCGCATATAAATGTGCTCAATACTCATGCATGTACCTATGTAGGTATTAGGTCGAAACAAAAACACAGGCACAAATTCAAAAGCAATGAGTAGAGCACTACGCCTTGCCGTACCCAATTGGTATTAAGAGTATCTTCCTGACTTCTCTACACAATGGCAAATAGCAAAAGAAACCGGAGTTACGCAGTGGCTTCGAATTGAAAAACACGTGAAGGCAGCGAATGTCCTAAGGACATGTCGAAAAAGAACAGCGGATTCGCTAATTTTTCCAGTAGCGACCAATGGTGCTTCGCGCACGGTCTCTCCATAGGCAAAATGCCTCGCTCTACCGGTGAAGGTTCGAATTGAAAAGTTCGGGTTCGCAAGATTCAGAAATTCTGGTCATACGAAAAACAGTTGACCAAATCACGAAATAAACGGAAATAGCGGATCTCCAAAGTTGCTCATTCAAGCAAACAATGGACTGAAATCGAAGTTGGTAATTTTTGGAGTTCGCTCCATTCGGAGTGGTCTGCTCGCCGGATGGTTCATGGAGATAAATGTATATAGTATCTCTATTTACAAGAGTCTCTATTTTACATTAAATCGAAATTCAGACACTTGTGGCATTATCTCTATCTAAAAGAGTATATGCCATTTGTGTGAAATAAGTTGAACGCACAGAAAAACTGTACACGGCTTCTCATGCTGTGTTATCTTCATTTAAAGAAGTATACACTCACTCATAGCCAAAAGCTTGATCTCCATGGTCTGGACGAAGAAGATGAGGATCCACCCCACTCTGTGTTGCCCTGATACGTCGATGCTTGATCTTCATATGCCTTTCTCTTTTTCTCCTTCTGTCTTTCCTTTCTTGTATCAGCATACTGCTTCTTCTTGTAGGCCTGTTTGTAATGATGTCGTTCATTCCATGACATATCAGAAGGATCAAGATGGATAAGAATTGGATTATGAGCATCGCGATCATTTGGGGCAACCATGAAGATGTTGTGATCACCATGTAAGCAAGTTTCATTTACCTTGAAGTAAAATTCACCCACATAGTTCATGTGATCTTCATCCTCAAAGTCTTCTGGGTGTTCCTCACACATCAAACGTGAATGACCCCACTCAACAACTGTTAACATACAACAATCACCTTTACCATTTGTCTTGTTCATGAGCTCGTCGGTGTATGTTGCTGTTGTAATGCCATCCAAGTGCGTTGCAAGAAAATCCAAGTCACGATAACTGCAAGAAATGAAATGCTTGACCCTGATTGGAGGGCAAGATGAATCAAAATACTTGCGCATGGCTTGTGTTGCAACACCTACCATTCTGTTGATCCAGAATTGGATAAGGCTGTGTTGGTATGTAGGGACACCTGGAGATTTTGGTGTGCTGTAATAGCATGCCTTGTTTCCATCACCTGCGATGAAGTCAACTTGATATCTGGCACACTCAAAAGCCATAACAGCTAAGCACTCACCAACAATCCCAGCAGAGTCTGATGCATACTTCTGTCCGACGTGATAAACGCACACACGTGTCATTCTCATCCTAGCTCTTGTCAAGTCAACAATCTCATCTGTATCTCGATCCTTTGTCTTTCCCCAAGATACTTCAAAGATTGCCCATGAGACTTGTCGAACTCGTGTGTCGTTGTCATCTGTGTGATATCCAGCAATTTGCTTGATATAGCCATCCTTTCCAAGGCGAGCTGCCACCATCAAGTCATGATAGTCATTGAAGCAAGTTTTAAAGTCAACCTCGTCGAGTCTTTCTCTGTGAGGATACAATGAACCAGCCTCGCAATTCATGAAAAGATGTCCTCCAAAGTTCTTGATGACATTGATGAAGTAATTGTTGAACTGTGATTTGGTTTCATCAAATTTTTCATGATCCTCATCGATAGTGTAGTCAATGTGTGGAATGAATTGTTGAAATCTTTCTGGAACCGGGCATTTTTCAAATCTGTTTCTGCACCAGTTTCCCAAATTCCAAAACATTGCTGTTATCTGTGGAGAGGATCTGTATGGAAATTCAGCATCCTTGTACGTTGGGTCTGATAGGCCTCCACCTAAATACCTGTAAGCCAAGCTATGCAAGATCATACAGTAAGGCAAGACCTTGTGGTCCTCAACGCAATCTTGGAGTACCCTTGTGAGATTTCCAAAATCGTCATCAATCCTCTTTTCTGCTTCTTTTGAGGATCTTTCTGCTTTGTCTTGATGAAGAGGATGCATCCTAGGATCACTACAACCATATTCAATGCGCTGATTGAGTTCTTGTAATTCTAGTTGTGGATTTTGATCCTTGTGTCTGGCAATGTACTCAACCATCAACTGGTCATCTGTAAGATGGTACCAATAATCTTGATGTGGAGACATGGTCTTTCTGTACTTGACATGCCAAAACATGTGTCGATGCTTCGAAGACGCTGGATAACCTTTGTTGTAAAATCCTGCCCATTCACCATGGTAACCATCTGAAAAACAATCCTTCAATTTTCGAAAAACTGAATCATCTTCGTTTCCAGTGATATCTTGACCATAGTAAAGTCGAATTGCAGGTTTCACTTCAGGAGCTGTCTCATCATCTTGAATGTCTGTTTTCTTCTCCCCTGATTCCTCCTTTTCTGAGGAGCGTTCAGGTGGAGCTGATTCCTCTTTCTCTGAAGAGCCTTCAGCTGGGACATGTGGCTCCTGTGTGTCTTTTTCTTCTTTTTCTTCGACAGCAATCTCCTCTTCTTCATCCTCTTCTTTCTCTTGTCGTTCTTCTGGTTTGACAAAACTGTCCTTGATCTTTTGTTGAACATTCTGATTGCACATACTGATCCATTTCAATGTACACTCA